CCCCGACACTATGGCAATACGGTCAGGTTGCTGGGCTGTGCCAATCCTCAAGTGGGGGCTTTGCGGGGGGAGGGGAGGGAGGGGTGGGAAGGGGATGGGAATGTGGGGTGAAGAGGGGGATTCGTGGAGGGGAGGAGGGGAGGTGTGGGGGTCAAGGGGGATGGGAATGGGGGATTTGTGGAGGGGGGAAGGGGGAGAGGGGTGAAGGGGGAAGGGGATTTGTGGAGGGGGGAGGGGTATGTGATGGAGGGGGGTGATGAGGGAGGGGGAGATGGGAGAGGGGGATTCGTGGAGGAGAGGGGAATTCGTGGAGGGGAGGGAGTGAAGGGGGATTCGTGGGGGAGAGGGAGTGAAGGGGATTCGTGGAGATGGGGGAGGGAGTGAAAGGGATGGGGAGGGGGATTCGCGGAGGGGGTATTGAAGGGGTAGAGGAGTATGAGATGCGGGGGTAATGAGGAGGGAGGAGGAGGAGGGGGGACGGTTTGAGAAACGGAATTCATGGAGGGGAATGGAAGGGAGGAGGGGGAAGAGGGGGGTAAGGGATAGCGTGGAGGCATAAATTTAGGAAGGGGGGCTTCACACGTGGGATGGAGGTGGGGGAGTACAGGAGAGGAAGGAGTAGTGGGGAAGGGGGTGAAGGAGTAGTGGGGAAGGGGGTGAAGGTGGGGGCCACGGTAGGCTAGGGTAAGGAAAGAGTAGAATAGGGGGTAAGTCAGAGTAAGGCAGGGTACGGGGAAAAGTAAGGCAGGGTACGGGAAAAGGTAGACAGAGTTGGGGAAAAGAAAGGCAGGGTAAGGGGAATGGTAAAACAGGGAAGGGAAAGCGTAGGGCAGGGTAGGGGGAGAGGCAGGGGAAGGGGGGAGACTGGTGGGAACCTCCTCTTTGGCCATACCCAGCGGTCGCGCGGATTCGCAAAGGAATGGGCACAGGGCGAGAAAGGAAGGGAGGACGTAAGAAAGACGAAGAGACATGAAAGACTAAGAGCGGGAGACGAAAGATGGGAAGATAACGAAATACATAAAAGAAAACTTTGACGGAAAGAAAATAAATGAACAGAGACGTGTGTGTGTGTGTGTGTGTGTGTGCTGTG